ATCTGGGTGGTCAAAGTTTGAGTTCAGGCTCGTAAACGCTGCTGATCGATGACCTTGGCAGTGCCACCGTGGCCTCGTGGTAATGGTCTCGCTTTCAAGTCAAACGCACGCGGCTTTGCATCCGGTTGGCGCGGAAGTTTTTGCTTCGCTCCGTATAAGAGCTTCAACTCCAAATTTTCAGAATTCTTCCGATACGGCTCAGCAGGGCAAGTAGATCAAGTACATCAAGTATACGACGTACTTGTCGCAGGTTCAGAGAGAGACCGCCCTACTAGTCCTCTCCCACGACGAGCATCGGTGTTCAAGGGCCCGCTTACACACCATCAGCCCACCACAGTCTCACAGTTCCCCGGGGACTATACCGCTTTCCCGCACGATATAGCCACCGGTCCCCGGGGGACCACCCGGACCTAAGCCCGTGGCAGGCTGCAGGGGGCGGCAGCCCATGAACAGGCATGCCCCCGTGGTGGGTCCGACCTCCCCCAAGTCCGTCCTGGACCCCCGGGTCAGCCGGCCCCTACCACTGTTACAGCCTGCCGTAACCGGTCCAGTTACATGCCTACCTGGCTCACCTGGCCCTGAGGCATGCAACAGCCGAATAACAGAAACATAACAACCAACAACCTGTACCTACAACCGACCAAGCCCCTCGAACCTTACCAGCCCCTTAATAGGCCCATCTATTGCGCCGGTCGCTCCAAGTCCCACTTATACCAACACATTACAAGAATAATAAATTCATTATTTATTGACTACGGCTGGTCTGCGCTAACCGTCTTCCTACAATCCTTACATCCTGCCGTGGCTGGATTGGCCATCCATCTTCCAACTGTCCAGCGATCCTAGATCCTAGCGGTGAATGGCACTCTGCGGCCTACAAGCTGCAACCCGCAGCCGGCCGTGCCTTCGGGTCATAGCAGGCACGGGCCAGAGCCAGAGCTCCGCCAGACGGAGCAGTGTGCCCGACCACACTGCTGTACAGAGTGCAAGCACCCTGCAGAACCGTCCGGCATCATGCGGCAGGAGCGGACGTCCGCGTGGTCTCTCCCGGAGGGAGAGAAGCACACCGACTGGCTCGCAGCAGCCCTTATAAGGGCTCCACTGGGGGCGGGGCGGCGGCGCGGCCTTCGGCGGTCGCGTCGCGGCTTTGCCCGTGTAGCGCGCCAGAGCCCAGGCGCACGGGACCCCGGCCACGTTGTCGCGAACCGCGACAGTACTCGATCTAGTATGGATTTGGTCATATCTGCCCTCTCTGAACATATTACCCATCCGACAATTCAAAGTTTTGCCCAGAATCGCAATTTGGCCAGACGAGCGTTTTTTCGTCGAAGGATGTGATATTCGTGTTCAGGGGGTCGAAATCTCCCATGAACGAATTTCTCGCTAAAACTTTGAATTGTCGGATGGGTAATATGTTCAGAGAGGGCAGATATGATCACATCCATACTAGATCGAATACGTCGTATACTTGATGTACTTGATCTACTTGCCCTGCTGGTTCGGAAGAATTTCGAAAATTAGAGTTGAAGCTCTTATACGGAGCGAAGCAAAATTTTCGCGCCAACCGGATGCAAACCCGCATGCGTTTGACTTGAAAGCGAGACCATTACCACGAGGCCACGGTGGCACTGCCGAGGCAGCCGCTTACGAGCCAGAACTCGAACTTTGACCACCCAGATCTCGTCCGGGAGATCCCTGTAGCACTTTTAATCTGCATATTCATTAGCATTCGAGGCTCTATCGATATACCTAGGTCTCCATTCAAAGTTCCATGGGAAGTTCAAACCATTCCCTTGTCAGTACGGAAGCAGCCAGCGCCGGTCGATATCCGTCAACGACTGCTTTCCTCGAAGCTCCTTAGCAATGGCAGCTCGTCGACGCGCCTTACAGCGTGTCATCGCGAATTCTGAACGGTGTCAGGCGGTTGCCTTTCATTTTCTTATTGGTTGTGCCTTTTTTACCATGGATGAAGAGGAGGAGCACACAAATGGACAAAGCACAGTGGCACGTGAGAATTCTCCATACGCCCAGCAAGGACTTTGGTTATATTTTCATTGGTAGGGAATGATTTTCTGTATGGCGCGACAAGTCCACTGACTTTGGTAATGTGGTTGCCAGGGCGCTGACTGCTACGAAAATCTGCCAATGCGCTGATAAGGTATCCGAGCTTCTAAGTACTTTTGAAGATATGTTGTACAATCCCTGGAGTGCTTTAACCATGTGAAGGGTAAATGGGCTGTCCTCAGTTGTGAAATGTTCCACTTTCTCGCTCGAAAGTGCCCGAAAACGAAGTTGGAAGATCGTAGCAGCGGAATGAGTTTTGGGTGTCCAGCCGTTGTCCCGCAATGAGCAGAGCTTGCTCAACACCAACGTCCAGCAGCAAATGAACGGCTGCTGTTGGCATGTTGCCTATGCCAAAGGTAGAATGCAGCCAAACATGAGAGGGTGCGTACACGTAGTACGTTCACTATGGCTAGGGGTGTGCCTGGTCGCGCGGCAGGTTGCTGTGCGTTTTTTGCTTCTGGATGGGAGATGGAAACACACACTCGTCAACCCTCATTACCATTTCTGACGCACTTTCAAACGGATGACAAGCAACTCTTTCCTGAACTGCGGATTGTTCATCTTGCACACGCTTTAGGATTGTCAGATAATATAACACTAATGAGTTCTCGCAGCTTTTAAATTTAGTTTCAACAGCAACTTGCTATCTTGAGGCCACTCGCAATGTGAATTTTCTAAGGATGCTCGGAAGTTTACTAAGAATTTTTTCTCTGTAACTGAATTTTCCCTCAATCTTAGGGGCCCAACGTGGTAATAGCAAGCGATGAAAGCTATTTAGGACTCCTTTAGTCAAAAGACAGATCAGAACACATACGCGACATTTAGCTCGAGGCATTGGCGCCCAGTAAAAGCGGCAGTATGGTGACCAGAACTGATCTAGACTGAGTTGCCCAGTTCGAGACGGTCAGTTCAATTAGAAGCAAGAAAGAATTTTCAGCAAAAGAAGGTTTCAATACCTGCATACAATGCTCCACTGTGGTCTTCGTGAGACCGGAGAGAGCGGGAGGAGAGGAGGAGGAGGAGTGCAGGGGAAATGCTGTAGAAGTGCAAGACGGTCGATACAAACTTTGCTATAGTCTAGTATGACGAGGAAAGTGCCGTTCACTTGGAAAGACGTCACAGACAAGACCAAATATCTACTTCACTGGTCTGCGTCCTCATACAGCAGGGAACGCCAAGGCCGCTCTCTCGGGACATCACTCACCCTGCTCGCTGACAACCAAATGAAGTAAACAATTGGCTCGAGTTCTGTCTGAACCTGTACCAGGCCTTTTGCCCATAACGCAACGTAACTGAAGACTTGTGCTAGCTTTTGTATTAGGAAACTGCGGTGGTCACCGGTCATCACTGTGGCGCGACTTTAAAATACTGGTAAGAAGTTATTGTAGGGACTGTAGGCGCTAATAATGAATCAAACCAATAGCGGAAGAATTACTCCTTGCAGAACTGGTTCAAAGGGTATGGGAAGTAACTCTGTATGGGACGTATTCTGATGTATTAGGTTGGCTAATAAGTAATGGCCGTTTTTTTCAATTGAAAAATTTGTTCGAAAAGTGAAACGTTTTGCAAGCAAGTTATATATCATCTGATAGGAAACTTCTCGTAGTATAAGAATATCAAAAAAGCTTTGGTTGAGGATATAGTTTTTGTGAATTTTTTAGTCGTTGAAGTTGGAGTGAAGTCGGCGAAAATTAGCATCTTCGACAACTGCCTCTATTTAGAAATTTCATGCTAATAGTTGAATTGAATTTGAATTTGATATTCTAATACTACGAGAAGTTTGCTATTAAACGATATTAAGCTTGCTTGCAAAACTTTTCACTTTTGAAACAAATTTTTCAATTGAAAAAAACGGCCATTACTTATTAGCCAGCCCACTAGCAGTGGGCTGGCTAATAAGTAATGGCCGTTTTTTTCAATTGAAAAATTTGTTCCAAAAGTAAAACGTTTTGCAAGCAAGTTTAATATCATCTGATAGGAAACTTCTCGTAGTATTAGAATATCAAATTCAAATTCAATTAATTCAACTATTAGCATGAAATTTCAGGTGGAACAGACGTGAGCCTGCCCAATATTGGCAAGGTGAAGGTTGCCAACTTTGAAATTCTTGAAATTAGTTCCAAAGCGTCCTATTGAGATTCCCTTGCTGAGACTTCTACCTCAACCTTTTCCGAATGTATGGAGCAGCTTAAGCGATTTTAGCACTTCGAGTAGACGTAAATAGAGGCAGTTGTCGAAGATGCTAATTTTCGCCGACTTCACTTTCAACGACTAAAAAATTCACAAAAACTATATCCTCAACCAAAGCTTTTTTGATATTCTTATACTACGAGAAGTTTCCTATCAGATGATATATAACTTGCTTGCAAAACGTTTCACTTTTCGAACAAATTTTTCAATTGAAAAAAACGGCCATTACTTATTAGCCAACCTAATAAAGTCGCTGCAGGACGGTTGGGCGTGGCAGTATGAGTGTGTCACGCCGTCAAAGCCGTTCTCTGCCTTCTTGTTGAAGCGCATGCGACAAAAAGTGGTAGAAAACGAGTAATACGAACGATATGATACAGTCATATCATTTGCTCGCTTTAACAACTGGTACATCATATGTTACGGCACTGAGGTGCTTCGTGCTTTGTCCGCTGGTCTACCAGGCACCCTGGACCAAAACGATTCAGCGTTGCGATGTTGTAATCTATTTGACTAATTAGGTAACCAGCACATGTAAAGCCTTCAGTCTCGCGGCTCACTGCCGATACCGGTGTGTCAGGGAGCTGGGTTTGGCACGATGTTTGTCCACATCCCACTACTGTTGTTGCTTGCTCGTTCAACAACTGGAGAAGTACGGTTGGCGCCGCGCCAAACCCTCCTCTGACATGAACAAGACGCTGTATTCGCTTGCACTTCTACACACCGGTTATTCCAGATTCTTTGCGAAAATGGCCTTCGATATTGTCACCACTCATTTTGAGATTCCAGAAAAAGCCGCACGTACAATCAAGACTCATTTAGAGGTCAGTTTTTTTGTACTTTTGTTTGCCTTTTCGGATTTTATTTCGACACTATTGCTCACTACAATCCTATCGAACTTTCATAGGTACACTGCAAGCTGGTCTCATAGGTAGGGTCACTGAGACTACCCCTTCTCACCCCTCCCCCCCCCTTAGATGATAAACGAGAGGGAACAATGCGGGAAGCAGCCACTAGGTCTAAGTCAGGAAGTCTAAGCGACTCCGCCCGTATGATCAGCGTCAAATTTACATTAAATCAATTATTTATTTCATTTATTTTATTTTATTTATTACATTAAATACATTGCATTACATATTTCATTTATTACATTAAATCAATTTTTGTAGTAAGCACAGTAATGTAAAGAACATCGAGCGAAGCTTCAGGGTCAAGAAAGCATTCCTGATATCGCCGCTTTGATAGTTACAATCAAAGGCGATCCTTTAATTGTAGAAAATGGAACAATTACTATTCTCGCAGGTTTACTGGTCGCATTCGTGAACTCAGGTGGGCTATAAACATATTTGCTTTGGGAAGTTTCATGATAGAAACCAGATTCAGGTGATTACGACGCTAGGTATCGAGTACTTCTTAGGCATCTTGCAACATTGCTAGGTGTTGTGTGGGAAGAACTTGAAGACGTCAGTCAGTTTGTTGTAGACCTAGACCTCCTCAATAGAATTTGATGGAGCGCTTTTAGATCGAAGACTCATTGGCGAGTACGATCGTCAACGAGGTTTTCAAGGAAACAAAGTAAGCAGTAGCTGTTATTTTCTTTTGTTTTCATCTATATATTCTAACTATTTCAAACCTAAGAGTCAAGATTTCAGAGATAGCGGACAACCGTGAGTTAGTTGTGTAGTGAAGAGTGCTGTTTGCATAGAATTTCCACCGCTGTTGCAGACCGTTCTTCTGGAAAGTAGCATTACAGGCACTCGCAACTGGCTCGAGAGAAGGCGCAAAGGAACAAGAAAATCAAACGATTTCTCCTCGTTGGAGCCGCTGGAGGCATAGGAGGAGTACTCATCGGTAAACTGCTTTCTTTTCATTTATTACGTTCTTGCTCATGTGGTATTTTGGAAACAGCCGCGGGTTTTCTCTTCTTGGAACTCTTTTTATTTCGAACTATCAGGTGACGATCGTTCCAACTGGAAAGTTCCATGTAGATATATCTATTGTTGTTCGAAAAGTCCTGCGACACTTTGATTGAATTGTTCTAGAAAAAGACCAAAAATCATTTTGGATGTTTTTATCCCTGATTAGTGGAGACTGTCCTCTGGGGTTTCTGCACATGGGTATATCATGACTTTGAGGAAGTTTTCAAAGCTTAAAAGTCCCCAGAGATCGAGGTACTTTTCGACCTGTCCCATATTATGAGTTCCTGTAGGGCCACTTCGCCGTAGTCAAGGAAGCTGACACCTACGTTGTCTTGAGGAAGGATATCGCTTGCCATGGCAGAGGGTAGCTTTTGCATCAGCGCTTCTAAGCTGGACTTATTTAACTCGTAGTTGGGCAATGTATAGGTCGCCCATCAGCACAGAATGACGGCCCTTTACTCAAGCTTCTTGAGGCGCAGCCGAACGTAACCACCGGTAAGTTGGCGACCTCTCTAGGCTCCATCTGACTGACAACTGCCATGCTTCTCCGCAATCTCGGTTATCGGAAAAATTTTTGTGAAGGATGCCTCATGAGTTGGACCCGTCTGACAAGTCATACCGAATGACCGTGACTGAGTTTTCTTTTCCTTGTACACAGCGTAGGAACTTTTGTGAGATCTTGTGGTTGGTAGCGAGTGGTGGAGTCCTTGCGTACATCATGCACATGTCCCTCGCAGGATCTCTCAAAGAAAGTAGATTGCTTAGCCAAAAGCAGATGTGCATGGGATAAAGATTTCAGTGTGTTATTGGTGGGACTTCAAGCGGTATCACTGGATACCAGCACCGTTGTAAGGACCACAGTCCACCTTAATCGACTTCAAATGGATGACGTCACGCTTGAATTCATTCAGAAATACTCAATTTTTCTCTACTACTCGGTAATGCGAGGACCGCTGTGGGGATCAGGCTACGCCAAAAGATCATGCATTTCGATCAGAGAATGCGACCGTACTCAGGTTATTTAACAAAGTTAGCAGCCTCTAATTACCACCTCCTTTGGTCACTATCGCATCCTTCAAAGCAAAAAGTTCCGAAAATCAACCTCAACTCGAGAATGAGGTCCACCTCTTCTTTTTACCACAGTTGCCGTAGTTCTATGAGAATGGAAATGAGAAGCTGTGCAAAAGAAGGGCACTAGTCCTAGTCCTTAGTGGTGATTACCTTGTAGATTGGAGATGTCTTTTAGTGACTGAAAATTTAGTCCGAAAAATTGGTCAAAGTGTCGCAGGACTTTTCGAACAACCTAATATGTAGTTGCAACCTGAATATGGGCTCCGCTATGTATAGGAGGGATCACGTGCCTAGCGCTTTTGTACTTCATTTCACTGAAAGCTAGCTAGAGTGAAGAACTCATGAGGGTTTTCTGTGGCGTTTCAGGTCTCACAGGAGGTCTGGCAGCTCCTCTTGTGGCCGCTGGCGCAGGTATGATCATCGGCTCAGGCGCTGCTGGTTTGGCCACCACGGCAGGTGCAGCCGTTCTAGGGACGACGTTTGGAGTCGCTGGAGCAGGACTGGCTGGGTATAAGGTTAGAAGGTGAAAAAAAGTAAAACTTCGCTTGTGATTCATCTTCTTGCAGATGAATAAGCGGGTTGGTGCGATTGAAGAGTTCTCAGTTGAAACCCTTTCGGAAGGCCTCAGTCTCCACTGCGCTCTGGTGGTTTCCGGATGGATTGAGGAAGACACGGTAGCGATCATGCATAGGTTCAGGCGTTGAACGTAAGGACCAGTCATATCAACGTTTCAGTCATGTGAACAGGCGTTTGAACACCAGTGGAGACATCTCAGTTTGGCGCGGGAACAGTACACACTACGGTATGAGAGCAAGTATCTGATGGAACTCGGTAAGGCCATGGACTACATAATGGGTTTTGCCGTTTCTGTCGCTATTCAGCAAACCCTCATGGAAACAGTGTTGGCAGGTAATTCACAGCCTTTTCTCATTCCAGCGTTCCCCTTTTTAGCCTACAAATGGCTTCATATTCAGGTTTGGTGTCTGCGGTGGCATGGCCAGTAGCGATTGTTTCAGCCGCTTCAGTTCTCGACAATCCGTGGAACGTGTGCGTGGCCAGAGCAGCGGAGGTTCACATTCAGCTGTTGATAGTAACCCCGACTGGGATTGTTCAACCTCCTTTTCGAAATTCCGCCTGTCGGATTTTTCTCTTTGGGTTGATTCGGTCAGATTTTTATCTCCGAGGATACTTTGACCTGCTGAGGACGAATTTCATAATCGCATGGAACGGATTCCCCCAGTGCTATTGCATGTGGTGCGGTGGGGTTTCCCAGCGAGGGATTTCGCGTTTTTTTTTTGCCTTTGAGGACGATCTTCTCGGTTAATGACTTTTTAACGTACTCTTCCCCCCTCCCCGCCTTCCTTCTTTTCCATGGTAGTCTTACGGGGAAATGTGATGGCTTTGAAAAAAAATCCCGAAAAAGTGGTAGAAAATTGCTAGAAACGGTTGGGGGCATGTACCACAGGATTTTTGGAGAGGCGGGGGGGGGGTTGCAGGTATTTTCGCTAAAGGTAGGAACACTCCTGCAGGCGCTACAGGCTTCCTCTGGCGTCGGACACCTGTGCTCGAGCGTCGGGCGCCTCTGAGCTGAAGTTCATGATGTTATTCTCGTGTCGACGAGCTCAAATGATCCAGTGAACAACAGTAGCAAAATCTATCCGCAGGAAAGAATCGCAATAAAAATCTGGCCTGGGTTCCTAAAAAGGGGTCAATGAAGGATGCACAGCACTCAATCTTTTTACCTTTAAAAGCAAAAACCTTCAGGTTGGGGAACATCTGGCAGAGTTGCTTCTCAGCCGATCTCATGGCAGACGGCCAATATCGCTGATTGGATTCTCGCTTGGTGCTAGGGTCATCTACCACTGTCTGCTTGCTATGAGCAAGCGCGCAGAATCAGCAGGTTTTTTTCTTTCAACCAAACCGCTTAAGGGGGAATACTCACCTTGTCACATTTCTAGGTATAATTGAAGACGTAATTTTGCTCGGAGCTCCAGTATCCACTTCGCCAAAAGAATGGGAACAAATATGCACTGTTGTCGGTGGAAGGGTGATCAATGGTTACTGCGAAACAGACTGGTTGTTACGGTAGCACAACTTTGATAGGATGCATCAAGTTCCCTATTAAGTGCATAGCTTTCCAGATTTCTATACCGCACAATGAGCGTGCAGTTCACAATTGCTGGAACGGGTCCGGTCCCTCACAAAAACCGGAAGATTTTCAACCATAACCTCAGCCATATAGTAGGTTTCTTGGCGATCTTTACTGAAAAATGAATTCGTAATGAATACTTTTCAGGTGAAAGGCCACCTTGACTACTCGCGCAAACTTTCCGAGGTTTTAGCCGCCGTCGGAGTGAGCGTGAAGCGTTTTTCAACGGATCTCTCTGGAGAAAATTTTCGTGAGGCCGTTGGAGAAGCGGAAGATGCCTTGTCAATTTCGGTCCCTGACAATAGCAATAGCGAAGCTTCTCCGAGTGAGATCGATGCTGCTGCTAATGGAATACAGGAGATAAGAGTGAGGGACAAAGAAAAAAAAAAAAAAAAGATGAGTGAGAGGACAAAGAAGGTCCAACTTCAACTCAGAAATAGGTCCAACATCAGACATATCCTGTTGCTCTCAGTCATTTCTGTATATGTGGACAGCATTGATTTTAACTACCACACTGCTTTTACAAGTTCATTTCTATCCAACGTGATCTTCCGATACGAGTTCTGATAATCTAGTCTTTTCTTATGTGTATAATCATATGCATTGAAGATCTGCTTACTATATTTATAAATTTATTACACTGACCACACTCTAGTCGCTGGTCATTTCGCTCTTAATCTCGATTGCGGTTCACGATGCTTGTTAATGAAGCCAGGATAATGCATCGAGACTGAGGGGCGGAGGTGCAAATCCAATCGAGGGGGGTCGTACTAACCGTAGCGAGGAAGGAGGGTTGTCAAAACAGGGCCAGTGAACACCAAACAGCGCAAGAGTGCATCGCTGTGTTGTGGAGTGGAACCAGCACAGTAGAGATGTTTGAAAGATTACCTAATATAACAACGGCTGACTAGCAGTATTAATTTACATAAGTTCCTAATTACGTGGAGGACTGAGTAATGTAACACAAAAAGACTCGACCCCCTCACCCAACCTTACAGAAGCATCTGCGTGAAACAAAATTTATAACTCTTAGAAGTTACACTCGACACCACCTCTGCATCTCTAGCACCCAGCCCTAGCAGTGCTAGGAATCACCATCTCCGGGGAGGCATGTGGACAAGCAGAAGCAGGCTAGTACGGCAGAACGATCATGTGCATCTTCTTTAATCCATCCTCGACTTCCCTAACTCCTCCTACATATGCAATATTCGTGTTCGCGAGGGGAAACTACACTCAAGGAAAAGTTTTCAGCGATTTCTTTGAACTGGGATATTTTTTCGCCAGCCTCTGTCGCGCGAGCGCCAGTAGGATTTCGGGCGGAGCGGTTGTGATATGTCTTGTGTTTAGGAAGTCAGATTACTCCAATGTACACCTAGTTAGCCAAATCTGCCCGCAAAGAAAAAAGCCCGTTGAAAACTGGCCGGATTTCTTAAGCTTGGGGCAGTAAAGGGTGAATAGTGGCCTGGTTTTGAAAAAGATTGCGTATAAAAAACAAAGTTATTGTCGTTCAATGCGTGAAGATTTGCGTGTACTTCACCATTGACCCATCTACAAAATCTAAAATATTCCTCGAGCAGTCAAGGCGAGTGAGTGCCCAGTTGCAGTAACGCGCCTCGGCCCGAGCATGCACGGAAACGGTGCTGGAGGGAGTATTGTAGGTTTGCTGAATT